GGGGAAAGAAAGAGGGCACGAGGACGTGTGGGCAGATCGGGAAGTACTGGAGTGGGTACAAGGTAGAATGGGAGAAGAAGGGCGGTAGCCGAAAGAGTGAGAGCCAGGGGAGCGCATTATCGCTGGTACCAGGACCAGCTGCAAGTGAATACCAAGGACGGGTGGAAGGTAGTACCGGAGCCATCCCAGAGGGAGGACATCATAGCGCGGGTGCATCGGCAGCTAGGGCATTACGGAGAGCTAAGGACACAGCAGCTGGTGGGGACCACCTGGTGGTGGGCAGGGATGCGCAAGCAAATCAAGGAGTGGGTGCAGAGTTGTGAGTTGTGCAGCAGAAACCAGGCGGAACTGGATAGGGGCAGAAGGGAGCTGCAATCGCTGCCGATACACGGGCTGGGATTCCGCTGGTCCTTAGACCTGGCGGGTGAAATGCCTCTGAGCCGCAGGGGTAAGAGATACATCCTCATCATGATCGAACACGGGAGTAAATGGGTGGAGGTGAAAGCACTGCCGAGCAAGAATTCTGCCAGAGGCATGTGCTGACGCGGTTCGGGGCATGTGGGGAGGTGCTAACCGATCAAAGAACGGAGTTCCAGGGGCAGTTTGACCAGCTCCTGAAGGAGACCGGAATCACCCACAGGAGAACCTCTCGGTACCACCCACAGAGTGACGGGCTGACAGAGAGGTTCGTGCAAACTATCAAGCAGGGCTTGAGGGCGTACAGGGAGCAGTATAAGAGAGACTGGGATCTCAGGCTGCCATGGGTGGCTGCAGGTTACCAATTCAGTAAGCAAGCTACGTTGAAGGACATGTCACCATACTATCTCCTGCTGGGACGGGAGCCGATCCTGCCTATAGATGCGCCAAAGCTGCTGAGTGACACGGTGATCGCGGGATCGGAGGAGAAGTGGGTAGCAGTAGCAGAGGCCCGAGCAAAGTACCTACGTGAGCTGCTGCCAGCGGCACTCGAGAACCTGCACGTGGCGCAGCTAAGGGACGTGCAACGGTACCGCCAGAGAGGAGCAGGGAAGGAAGGAAAGGGAAAGAGAGAGATTCAGGCGGGAGGAGAGGTGTACCTGAAGCAGGCAAGGAAGGATCTGCTGGACATTGGACTGACATTGGACATTAGCAAGGTTAGTGCTCCCGCATGTCGAACTCGACGCGCCGTGCTGGTCTCAACGTTACTTTTGTTTCCAAGCTTCAAAGTAGAGGACGCTTGAACGACGAGAATTGCGAAATAGAACACACAGCGACGAATGTTCTAACTGATGGCGCGAAGGAGCATTCCTTCCTGTAAGACATAGCGCTGTGCGAGTGGTATCAACCGTGTAAATTGTCCAAGTAGAAATTGAAACCATGGGTGGGAGTACCAGAGGAGCAGGACCAGGGGGAGGAGTGGGAGTGAGGAAAAGGGGAGGGGGGGGGATCGGGGTACCTCGGTGGGTATAGCGTGCGTAGAAGGATAGTGATTCGTCAAAAGTGACGCCGCGGGAGTCGAAGAGTCGGTGGGTGAAAGGGTGGTAAAAAAGTCAGTCAAGGGCGTCAACCGGGAAGCCAAGGAAGAAACAGCGGAGGGTACGAGCCGAGAGCTTGTCCGCGCGAGAATCGCGGACATGCACAGGGCAGCGTCATACACGAAACGCAGATGCGGCACCAGGGGACCCAGTCCAAAGACGGGTCGGTGAATCCTGTGGGCGCGAGAAAGTGGCCATAGGTTCAGCTGATGCACGGCGTAGCAGACCGCAAAAGGCCACATAAAATGGGGCGCACAGGCATAGACCATGAAGGTACGGGCAATCTCCATGACCAAGCCTATGCGGCGCTCAGCAACCCCATTCTGCTGTGGCGAGTCAAGGAGCGTGTAGGATTGGGTGATGCCCTGCTAGCGACAGAACTCGGCAAGTACGCCAGAGCGAAAGTCACCCCCACGGTCGGAGTGTAGACGAAGCACAGAGAGAGCGCGCCGGGCGCTAGTGGCCAGCAACCACGGGATCAGAGCATCAGCCTTGAATTATTGGGGGAACACCGTGGTGTAGCACGAGAAGTCGTCTTCAACAAACAAGGAAGTAGCGCTCTTGTCGAGGTTAGCGACTGGGGCAGGGCCCCAGACGTCCATGTGCAAAGTCCAAAGAAGCGCGGTGGCTGGCGCAAGGGAGGAGGAGTGAGGGGCGGCGCGCCGACCCTCGACGCAAGGAGTGCATGGTGGAGCAGGCGAGGGAGGCAGCGGGGGGAGCGACACTGGGAGACCTAAGAGAATACTTTGCCTAGCCATGTGAAGGGGACGTGGTAGGGCACGGTGACCTAGATGGTGGTGGCACAAGAGTGAAGGGTGTGTGAGTGAATGACACGAGCACGACGCAGCAACCTGACCAGACGCAACTTCCTGGGGGGACGCAGTGTGCAGTGTGAAGAGACCTGAGGAAGGTTCCCAAGAAAACGTGGCAAGACGTGCCCCAGTGGTAGCGCCCGTACAGGTCCCAAACCTCTCGTGTCCAGGAAAACTGACTGTGACCCTACGGTCCTGAAGGTGTCCAACACCCACCAAGTTCCTAGAGAACAAGGGGACATGTAGAACTGCGAGCGACGGCTGGTACAGAAGTGGGATCAGCCAAAGCAACCGCGACTGGTGCTGAAAGTGGAGTGACAGTGGTGTGATCACAGAAGAAGCACTGGGACGCACCGAAGTCAAGCGCAATGGAAAGAGACGCGTTAACAGTAGTCACACCTGGGCTAGCAAGTACACAAGCACCTACACTAGAAACACAAGGACCTCCACAGAAACATGCAAATATCCTAAGCTAGGTACACGCAAGCAAACTGATCCGGCACCACCATAATCAACAACATACATGGCAAACCGAACATCATCCATGGACATATAAAAAAGACGGTAACTACGGCTCAGCAGAGCTGGCCGGTGCGGGGGGGCCGCCTGAGGCCCGAAACGCTCGCGAAAGTTTTCGTCCAGGCGACTAAAGCAGCGCAACGCGGAGTGGTCAAGACGCCTGCAAGTAGTGCTAGCACCAGGGGCAGTCAGGATCTGGTACTGGCAGGGCCCAACGTCGCGGCCATCGCGACGAGACCCCCGACTGGCAGAGCCGCTGCTGCGGCCGACACTCCCCAGACCACCAGGTCCCCACTACTGCTGAGATCCCCGCTGCTGAAACTGCTGCTGCTGCTGCATCTGCTGCTGCACCAACTGATGTTGCTGTTGTGGCTGCTGCTGTGTCCCGGCCACACCCCCAAGGCCAGCGCCCCCAGTCGTCGTTCCTGCAGTGCCTGCCCCGCCTACAGAGCCACCTCCTCCGGACGCACCAGTACCTCCACCACCGCCACTACCTCCACCACCTCCACCTCCGCCACCCTTCCTTCCCTTCTTACCTCCCTTGCCCTGTTTCTGCCAACCAGTGGCAGAAACAGCTGCAATCTCCTCAGTAGCAAACGACTCAGCAGCAGCAAGAGAAGAGTGAAGGTGGGAAGCTGGGGTAGAGACGGGGAACTACTCCGCCAGTAGTAGAGGCAACGGAATGGAGGTTACCCTCGACCTCATTGAGAATGGTCTTAATGAGTTCGATGGTAAGCTCAGTTGGGTTCCTTCGGAGAAGCGCATCACGTGCAGGCGAGAGGCGGTCGGGGGGTGCCAAACATAGGTGGGGGGTGGCTAGCAAGCTGAGGGTCGGAACAGGCAGCACGGTAGCTAGCGTCAAGTGAGCGCACGTCGGTTACTAGGTCAGCAGTAGTGTGAAACGCAGTAAGGTCGGGGAAGGAGAACGGAATGAGAAGGCATCCGAGGGAGGCAGGGGAAGGACTGGAATAACGAGAGAAAATAGCATCATAGCACTCCTTCACTGACGTTAACCTGGCTGAAGTGGACGCACTCGGCCTCCGGGAGAAGACTGCTGAGAGCGAGGCAAGCAGCAGCGTCGCGAGACTCCCATACGGAGTACTCCGTGCGGCGCACAGCAAACCTCTCCCGGTCCGCGTCAGTGGGCTCAGCAGGCAGCAGGGTGGGACACGTAGGGGCAGACAGATCAACGGCGTGTGAGCGTACAACGTCTCACCGTCTTCGCGCTGGCTCTGAAGGTAAAGCTTGGCGTGCAGCAGCCAGGTGCTAAATCTACCGCTCGACCTTCTGCGTCGAAACGTAGAGCTCTGGCGATCGCCATGGTGCAGGAAACGGGCTAGATATAGCAGGATATGAACGGCTGGCGAGGAACAACTGGCTAGGAACGGTAGGCCGGAAACGACTGGCGAGGAACGGCAGGCTAGGTTCGGCAGGCTAGGAACTAACCCGAAACCCTAAACGGCGCTAGTAAAAGGTAGTGCGGCTTCCAGCCAATGCTGAGAATGCTGCTAGCAGAGGGAATGGTGCGTGATGGCAGGCACTAGGGATGAGGGTGGTGGCTTGCTGGCTGGCGGGGCACGCTAATGGTGGGGAGCAGGCTGGCTGGCAGGGTGGGGTGCAAGCGGGGCGCGAGCTGGCTGGCGGGGCGCGCTCCCAGCTGGCGGGGTGCGCGCTAGCAGGGGCTGCGCTGGTTGGCGGGACGTGCGCTAGCAGGGCGCGTAGGCTGGCTGGCGGGGCGCGCGCTGGCGGTGCGCGCTGCTGGCGCGCTCGCTTTGCTGGCGGGGCGTGCGCTGGCGGCGCGCGGTGCTGACGCGCGCGCTTTGCTGACGGGGCACGCGATGGCGGCTCACGCTGCTGGCCTGTGGGTTGCGCTGGCGGGCCGCTTGCTAGCGGTGCATGCTGCTGGCGCGTGCGTTTTGCGGGCTGCGCGCTTTGCTGGCGGCGTGCGCTAGCGGGCTGACGGCTGGCTGGCTGGCTTGCTGGCACTGGCTGGTTGGCTAGGGCTAACGGGACAGGTTGGCTGGCCGCGGATGATCTAGGAACTAGGTGGCTGGGGTTGAACCACTAAATCAGAGACTGATTAGGGTTTAGAACCACTAAACCCTAAATCTACGATATAATACTGTGCCAAAGTAGAACAGCAGAATGAAATAAACTAGGAGAGGGATGATACAAATAGGAAACCCTAATCATGCACACCAACACAGATTTGCAAGGCGGACTATCACCACAAGGAAGGAAAAACAACTCCCAATGGGAGAAGAGAAACATCCTTTGATGTTCTACATGCTTTAGTGGCCGTTGCTGCTCCCACTGAATTTATTAGTCCAGCCTGCCAGACTATTGCAGGCCAGAGAACAAATAATCGCACACCATGGCTTGCAACTTGGGCGGTCAGCTCTTCGGAATTGGCAGACTCTATGGTGGATTCCTGCACCACACAGATTTGACACCACGAGGAGCACACATATGAGAACAAATTCATTGTGCGGTGTCTATATGTGATGTGTATGTCTGTGAGCAAGTGCCTGCATGCACATGTATGTCTGCATGTGCCTGCATAAGCCTGTATGCGTATGTCTTGGAAATTAGGGGTACAAAGGTGGGGGAGAGAGTGAAAAATAGAGAAGGCATGCAGGGACACGGTGAAGGGAAGTTAGAGAAGGGAATAATAGGGACACACATACCTTCCACAGGTCTCGTGCATGCATCCGCTGCTCCGGATTCAGCCCGAGATCTCTCCAGCTGACAGCCACATTCTCGCTCCTCCCACCATGGTTCACCAATGCCACCACTTTCCGACCCTCAGATAGAGATCCCACCCAGACCTGCAGGTTCGGGAACAGGTAGCACAAAATAAGGACAAGAATGAAGCAGTGTGATTCAAAGGAAGTATATACAAGTCAGCTGGAATGAAGAATCAGGATTCAAGGCTGTCAGTCGCAAGGCATGACGTGCAAGAGAGAGTTCTCTCAAGGCATAAAGATTAGGATGTTCTCACCTTCACTGGGGATTCCTTGGATAGTTGCACCCTCTGTGCTTGCACTCCCAATGAATCTGCACCAATCAGAATGCGGCACGTGTCAGCAGAGGTCAAGAAGGTAAGAAAACAGCAATTCATGCCATATATGATAGTAATATTTCCCAAGTCAACAAAAATAGCCATATATCTGTAGCTGCAACCTCACCTGTCACATCACTTCCAGCTTGCTTGGGTGCGTACCTTGGTTGAGGGCAATGGCCTCATTGGTGCTGAGGATGGTCATGGCTGGTTGCGATGCAGCAGAGAGAGCGCAGGCCGGCAGGAGTGGCGCCTGGTGGGAGGTGAAAAGGTGGGAGGCGAAATGGTGGGAGGTAAGAGGGTGAGAGGTTGTGAGAGAATGCAGCGCAGAAGCTGTACGTGTGCATACATGCATGGATAGGTATGCATACAGGTGTGCATGCATTCAGGCATGTGTGTGTGCATGCATGGATGCACGCATGCATACGCGCATGCATGCATGTATGTGTGTAAGCAGGGGGGTGTTCTCACCTTCATGATGGCCCACAGATTGAAGTGCACATGGTGCTCTGTCTCGCCCATGCCTCCCTTTGCCACCTGAAGAATGTCCAGGTCTGATAAAGGAGGGGGATCAATAGTGGGGGTAGGGAAGGAGAAGAGAGTTTCAACACATGACTCACAACACTTGCAACAACACTTGCACGCCATGCTACACATGCAGGCCCTAAGAAGACAACTCGTGTGTGTGGCTGCACGCACCATTCCAGTTGCGAGGGTCGGCATATTTAGCCCACTTGTTGTGGGCATCCGAAACCCAAGTCACACTCCTCCACGTGTCATCAGTGGCAAGAGTGGTGCGCCACGGATCTGCCAACCCATACGCCCATAGAGCTGAGCTGTCCTGTCCCCTGCAACACCAGCACACGTGGCAGAAGGATGTAGCAGCATACGTGGCAGAATGAGGCAGCAGTAGACGTGGCAGCCAAGTCATTACCAGCATGCAGACATAGACACGAGCAAATTCACCGGATGAGCACTGAACATTCCTCGCACGTTCACTCTTCCCTTTCACACTCATCAAATCTCCATATGCTTTGCATCACAAGCCGTCCTCTCATATGCCATCATTCACCCATATAAGCCACTCACCCTTCACACATGGAGAATGAGATGTCCCTCCCAGTGGCTTCCAATGCATTGCGCATGGCTGTGCGGCTGAGGGCTCCATCATCGTAGCAGCTGTCGTATTTGAGATAGTCCACTCCCTGGCAGGCATCACAGGGAACATTCACACCATGGCAGGAAGATAGGAGAAGACACGCATTAGTCATCATGCAGCCATGCAACGGTGGCAGGCGCGATTGCCTTCGCCTGTCCTGCAAACGCACATGCCTTTAAAAATAGATAAACAAGCTCTGTTCGATCCGGCATCTTCAGCAAGCTGATGTAGCCTCGTGACTCACCCATTCAGCGAAGGTGAGGGCGTCTATCGCCTCGTGCCCGAGAGATCCTGGCTTGCCTGAACACGTGCGCTTCCTGAGAAGGACAGTGGAAAGGGAGGGGTTGGAGGGAGGGGGAGTAGAGCAGCAGAGGCATGTGGATTTGAGAACAGCGTTTTTTATATTGCACAGAGATCTCTTGAGCTCTCTCTCCCCCATTCCCAGAACCACTCCCAACCCCCCATACATTTCCCCAAACGCTCTCAGATCATATCCACACACCGACTCACCCGGCATCGGAGTAGAGCCCCAGCTTGAGCCCCTTGCTGTGCGCATAGTCTGTAGCATTACCCCCAACTCCCCCACCCATCCCCCACCACCCCGAAGCCTGGGTAAGGCCATCTGCACGTGACACTGACTCACCCGGCATCGGAGTATAGCCCCAGCTTGAGCCCCTTGCTGTGCACATAGGCCGCTAGTGCCTTGATGCCAGACGGGAACGACACCGGAGATGCCACCAGGCGACCCTGAGAATCTCTGGAGTCGGCTTGCCAGCAATCATCTGCAAAAGCAAGCAAGAAACAAGATCGCCGGTCAGAAGAGGCCACACCTTGTAACATTATTGAAGGAGACACGACGCTGTTAGTAACAACCCAGCTGACGCCCCCTTGTGCACATGAGGAATGCAGAGTGTGCGCGATGAAAAAAGGAGGTAGTAGAGGGCAGATGTGTCTCACCAATGTTGACGTAGACGTAGCCTTGGGCTGCTAGCCCTGATGACACGAGCTTGTCCGCTGCAAGGCGCAAATAACGATACGACGGGGAGTGAGAACAGGTAAGCGGGCGTGCGGAGAAGAGCGGCTGGCATGATGGCATAGGAGCAGCGTTGAGAATAAGAGCATGGAGTCTTTATCTCATGCTCGGGAGATTCTGCACTGCAGTATCATGGTGGCAACCTCTCACCTGCAGTCTTGACCATGTCTTCTGTGATATTGCACTGGAAGTGGTTCCAGCTGTTCCATCTGCCACACATCGCCACACGGATGCCACAGCAAGCCACACGGATAGTGCAACAGGTAAGCTCATCTTGCTAAACAAGAACCGTCTTGCATAAAGAAAGAAAGAAAGAAGGAAAGAAAGAAAGAAAGAAAGAAAGAAAGAAAGAAATGGCTCATGAAACAGATATTCAAGGCTTACCCGAGCGGACTCCGGAAGGTCTTCTGTGTGGGCACATTTCCAGGAAGGTCGCCTCGGAGTTTCTCTTTCCTTCCAACCTTGAGAACAGTGGGAACAGACGCGCCTCCGCTGATAGCCGAAGCTTGGTTGAAGACAACCGCGAGGCAGAAGCACATGGATACGAACCAGACCTCCATTTTCCTGTCAGACATGGCGGCACTGAACCAAGATGATAGGTTAAACAGCTGGCACTGGCAGCAGCAGGCACTGGTACTCGTAGCTTTGTCAAGAGAAGCTTTGTGGTTCTGGAATCCGCAGAAGTTTGCTTGGATGATGATTCCGGGAATGGCAGCTCCTTCGTATACGAAAGACTCTTCATGCCTTCTGGGACGACTCAGAGGCAGCTACTAGTTTGCCGGCCAGCAAAGGGTGAACGAACATACACATGCTGAGAGGTCACGTCAAGAGTCAGATTCTTGACTACCCTTGGCTGTGCATATTTATCCGTATGCACAGCTTGCCAGGGCTTGCTCGTCTGCTGCACCACTTGCATGGTCGTTCTTGATACTTGTTTCATGCGGCGTCAGAATGGGATTCACAGCTACAGTACTGATTCGGCCGGGTAGCCTGGCTGGCACTGCCAACGGTCAAGCTCGAGCCTCAGATCGTCTGCTTCTGGAGACTGGAAGCCTTCCGGGCTGAGCCTGACAGTCGTGCAGGTCCGGCCAACAGTTCTCCCTACGGCATTTTTCGTCTGCATCCGCCTGGGTTCGCGAGTCAAGCGCTTTGCACAGCAGAAACGAGCCTCGGAGAAAAGTAGGGGAACTTCTCTAGACACAGTACCAGCCACAGTGTATTGTACAGTATAGTCCTCAGAAAAAACAAGGGATGTCGTAGACTTCCGTCGATCATGGCGGTCATGCGAACGCGCTGGCAAACTCCGACTCGTCTCCCCCATCCAGCCCATCCCAGTTTCACAGAGCTGTGCGGCTGCTGCGGTGTTTGCTTTCTTGCCGTTTTGGCCTGCAGGTCTCTCGTGATCAGCCGCTGACTGTGGGTTCTTTCTTCCATTGTGTGCATCTTTGGGTGATATGCAGGCCTGCCAAGTTGCATCTGTCTTTGCTGAGGTGTACTGTATACGTGTACGGAAGTCTTCCCGCGCTAGGATACTGCCAACGAGAACCTAAACCTTGAGAAACATGGATAGGCTTCTGATGCCAACGTGTGGATGTTTGAAACCCTAGACTTCCCTGATTTGCTTGCTTGCCTGGTCACCTGGCAAAGGTAAGGTTGTAGGGGAAACCCCCGTTGGCTCTGTCAGAGCTTGGTGGGATGTCAGCCTGTCAGTCAGGTTCGGTCGGAGCCCCTGCTGTCCTTTTTCCGTCACGGAGAGTCGCGCGAGTCTGACCAACAGTGCTCCGTCCTACTGTACCGTGTTTTTCGTCTACATCTGGGGTTCTAGTCAAGCGCTTTGCACCGCTGGAGAATAGGATATGAAAATTGAGATGACTGAAGGGGCACTTGTTTTCTAGCCAAGAAAGTGTACAGTTGTTGTGCAGTCGCTCCCAGGCCTGTTTCGTTTCGAACAAGAAATTGTACTGTACTGAGACGTGATATTTTTTTCGGTAACATCGTGACGTCAGCAAAAAAACGCAGCCTCAACATCGCCCTGGCAAAAACTCTGTACCCAAATCTGACCTGAAAGTGTCTGGGGGGACTCATCTGCCCTTATTTCAGGAGGGTGAGTCCCTCCTTTCTGAGAGTACACATGGTGTTTGTGCTCCTTTCTGAGTCGTTCATTCCACCCACGTAATGCGCATCTTTGAGTGATGCGTACGAGGGGCGGCTCTCTCACTGTTTGTAATTGCCCCCCTCCTGCAACTGTTCCGACTTTTCCTTTTGCTGTATCCCTGATATTGTGAAAAGCCTTCTTTAAAAAAAAATATTTGAGTGATGCAGGCCTGCCTAGTTGCATTCCTCGTGTCTGGTTGAAATGAGATGAAATCTGGAATGGGACGGGATCCTTGAGGAACTCGGCTATCACCCGACCCTGTTTGAAAATATTGGCTTTGTTAAAAACAACCCGCATTTCTTAAAAGATATCGAGGAAACCCCTAAACTCTGAATTTGTTGAGGTGAAGTCCAGGCGCTATGATCTAAATTCGTTTCGTTTTGAGCAGCCTCTGGTCTGGGAAACGGCAAAAATCGACCCTTCGACGCTCGTCTCAGACTTCCAGGAAACAACCCATTCCGAAATTCCGCACAGCAACACTGGATTCTCTAGTGCGACGAGCACGGTAGGCCGTGGTGGCAGCAAAACAGTATCCCGCTGTAATGAACAATGGAGTAGGTCCAGCCCAATTTTGGTTGAAAGGACAAGCGGTCAGTCAAGCGGTCAGACGAATTTTACGGAAATCATGGTCCAGTGGTGCAACCACTTGCCAACACACAGCGCATACCCGTTCATATTGGAGACTCCACTTGTATAAGGTCGAAGGTTGTACACGTATACTGATCATTAACAAGTACGTGCAAAAATGAGCAGAGCAAATTGAAAATTGTTACGATATGAAACTTTACGAGAAGGCATTCCTGTATGCTGCAGGGGCCGACTCTAAAGTGTATGAAGCCGAGGAGTCAGAAGAGTCGAAGCGACACTGGTAACCGTCTGATCAAGACCGATGCTGGCAGAAACATTCGAAGTGAAAAGAGCAGGAACAGGTTTGAAACGGGTTCCCGCGCCGCACGGTTTGAATTCGGTTGTAATAAGGGAATGTACCCCTTAGAGTACATGCTAGTCTAGGTCGTTTCGTATTCCTTTGTATTTCCTATATAAACTCAATATATGCATGCTATTATCAATCTCAGTCATTTACATTCACTCTGACCTGAGTTCACTACTTCCGTTGCAACACTACCTTGCGATCAACCCTGAGCGATCCTTTGCTAAGTCCCACTTGGGATTGTAACATGGTATGAGAGCTACTCAGGGATTCTTCGCAACTTCATTTCCGTGAAATTCGCCGAATCAAGATCTGGCGAGCGGCACATGCTCCAAGACCAAGATGGCCGGAGGATCCGGAGGCCAAGCGAATCTGACGGCCGAAGGACAAACCAACCCGGCTGCGACAAATGAGGCGACAACCACGATCAGCACTGCCGCACTCGAGTAGTTATTTTCGCGACTCTCAACTATGGAGAAAGACCTCCAAGAGCTGCGCAAAGGCGATGCGGGAACCGCTTCCCAACCAGCACAACCTGGACAACCGGCTACGAAAAGCCGTGATACCGCCGGGCACACCTTCTCCCTCGACACAGACAAATCAACAACAACTGCCCCCCGTCCAAGTGATGAAGTTATCAACTCTGCGCAAGCACGCTTTCTAAGCGTTTCAAAAATCAAGACTACTGCTGCATTTGACGGCAAAAACTTTTACACCTGGAGTTTCGAGTTTGAGCTCCTCCTACAAACAGCTCAGATCTACCACTATTTTGACGGCTCCTACTCTAAACCGGTGGAAGACACCGACGACGCCAGGGCTCAGTACTACAGCGAGTCCCTCATGGCGTATAGTGTGCTGCTACGTAATATGACGCCTGCGGAACAACTCAGCATTCGCTCCTACAAAGAGAGCGCCGCTCCAGCCCTGGAAGCTTGGAAGCACCTCGTTGAGGTATATCAACCGAAGGATTCGGTCACCGCCAGCAGGCTCCTGCAGCAACTCATGGAGACCAAGATGGGGCACGGGGAGAAAGCAAACTCATATACTAACCGCTGTCAGAATGTTCGTGACCAAATCACGAAGCATGGAAGCGCCATTTAGGAGGAGATCTTCGTCAATATCGTCCTCCAATGACTTGGGCCCGAGTGGAAGCCCTGCAAAGCGCTACTCCGACAATGAGGAATTATCTCTGAAGCCGCGCTATGCGCCGCCCTCCTGACTGAACAGCAGGACATGGACCCGAGCAGGACAAGCTCCGCGCCGCGCCGAGAGCGCCTCGCCTTGTACACAGACAATCGTGAAGAGCGACGTCAACCAAGGCGCCATTATTGCAAAATATGGAAGGTCTTCGGACATTCAACGGATCGATGCAAATCCCGATCCAACTATCGCCACCCAAACTCCACTCACCACAACAACTGGGTCGGCCGACAAGACGCTCCACATTCTCAGCCCCAGCAGCAAACCTCTCGTCCTCCTGCACAGCACCAACAACAACAAGCACAAGGACCTCAAACAGGAGCTCCTAGAA